AGTGGTAGAGCCTAAGCTCAAATATAATCTTCTAAACAAAATATTGACATGTAGAGGTTGGTCTGAGGTCAGGCAGAGATATAGAAAGTGACACTTTGTATCCTGACATCCTGAGAGATGCCTAGCCTGTCTTTCTTCCCACCCCTTCCATGTGGGGGAAGCTTGGGGATGCAAGTTGACCTACTATATTAAAGATTCAAAATGGCACAACCAATGTGTGAGTGTATCTCTTCAAAGAAAACTAAGCTGCTGAGAAGCCTATCAGTAGAAGTTCAGGAGGGCCACTTCAGCAATACTTCTCTCACCTCTTTCTACTGTCCCTAGAAAATGAGGAAGATGATGATAGTGGTGGGGGGTGATAGAAAATGTATATAATGCTACATGCCAGACATTCTTCTAAGTATCTTCTCTATATAAGCGCACATAATCCCCACAACAGCCTTATTTAGTAGGTGCTTTGAATATCTGTGTTTTATAGATGGAGAGATGAGACACAGAGAAGTTAAGTAATTTGCCCAAAGACACACAGGTAGTAAAATTAACAGAGCTGAGACATAAACCCAGGTAGTCTGGCTCCCGATTCCATATTGTGGAAAGTCTCAAAGCTCAGACTGCTCTGCAGGTCACCAATTGAAGAAAGAATGAGGGAAGAATCCAGTTCCCTTGGAGACTTGAATCACCCTTTGCCAAGGGATGCGCCCTCACCCCCAGCTCCTTTGGGAAGCTTTCTCCCTCTTCTGCTTGAGCTTTTAGTATTACTACCCCCAGGGAGGCAGCCCTTCCTCACAATTCCTATATACAATTCAACCCTTTTTAAAAAACTTGTTGATAGATCTTTATTTTTATTTATTTATTTATATGTGGTGCTGAGAATCGAACCCAGTGCCTCACACATGCCAGGCAAGTGTGCTACCGCTGAGCCCCAGCCCCAATTCAACCCTTTTTTATCCTCCCAGTCCCATACTCACCTTAAAACCCATTGGGCGAAGCTTACATGCTATTTCTGCATCATGCAGTGCATCCTCATGAGACTCCAAGGTGAAATAAATTTGAGAACGGTTGCTGTAGAGCAAATGATCATTTGGAGCTGCCAAAATGAGAGAAAAAAGCCCTCATTAAGAGCCTCCAGCACAAACATAAGTCTTGTAAGAGGGTGGATCTTGAACAAATGACAAGTTATCTAGAATGTTTCTACTGGGGATCAAAAGGGTTAAGCTCTATTTTCAGTCCTATTATCTTCCTGCTTTCAACACATTGCTGGCCACTGTGTCAGAGCTTCCCCAACTTCAAAGAAGCAATTTGCCCCCCTCTCTCAAGGTGTTCTTTAGAGGTTTTGTGATGTTTATGTTGCATTGACCTAGAGGAAATCCTGTTTCATGGCTACACACAGTGAGTGCCTGACAGCCTTGCTTCTGAGTGAGGTATCATCACCAAGGGATCAAGCCAGAGAGAAAAGGGGGATGTGGCCAGATGTGACTCCTGTCCTGACCTTCAGCAAGACAAGTCCCTGTTGGTCTTCTAGGTGGGATGACTGACATTAGCAGCATCTCTAACTTCAAAGCCCAGCATATATGAAGTTTCCAGGAAAATGGAAATGTGTTTATAAGACCTCTTCCTCCCATTACAGATGTCAAATGTGAATGAACCTAGGCAAGGCTTCTGGAAATAAGGTGAAGCTGTGTCTTACCAATGCTTTGAATCACTAGATGCCAGGGCTGAACAGGCTTTTAGAGATCATCTGGCTCAACTGACCCATTCTTCAGATGTGGGAAATCAAGGCCAGAGGGGAAGGCTTCACTCAAGATCATGCACTCAGTTGGACAGAATCATGGCTAACTGACCACACTTCAAAACTTCAAAGCTGGGGTGGGATCAGATTCCTTTTTCTGTAGACAAGTTCAGTATTTAGAATAATAAGACACTGGCCATCTCCAAAACAAAGCTAACCTCTGTAGCTTCCTCTCAGAAGGGTGAAGAGGATATTGATTTTTTTTTCCCCAGACTGCTCTGAGGAAATTAGCAAAGGTATAGGGAAGACCCTCCAAGGGAAAGTGGTAGCAGCAACAGTGGAGCCAGAGAGCTGGAAGGGGCTTTCCTTCTGGCCCCTTAGGGAAAGGCTGAAAGGAATGGAACCTCCCTCCCAGATCTGTACTTAAGTCACCTCCACCTGTTTCATTCACGTTGCCCAATTCTTCCCCAAGCTCTGGACTCCAGCTTCTGCTACCGGCAACAGACTTTATGGATTTTCCCAGAAGTATGCTTGGGTGCCCATTACATGCCCTTATTACATCAGCAAAGAGTTCAGTCTTTTCTGTCCCTCCTGTTGTGCAGCACACGACAACCTAGTGGCGACTCACAATTTGCCTTGCCTGGACACAAACTTGCTTGTGATGTTGGGGGCGGGGATCTCCTTTTCCCTGGACCACCAGCTTTTGCATGTTCAGCCCTTGTTCCTTTCCGTGCCTGAATTACCTGTTGCATGCTTTAGTGGAGATTCAACATGTGGAGACTCCAGCCCACTCCCTCCTCCACCCATCAGAGTCCTGCCCAGGGCATCCTCGGATCCCAGAGCCCTGTCTACCCTGCCTCCTCCCCGACTTGCTTCGCCAGGCACCGCGCCCCGCCGGCAGAGCGGCTGGCAGCCTGCCCAAAATAGGCAATACGGGCCAGCAGCTCAGCGGTCACTTCCTGGGTCCAGACTCGTGGAATCAGAATCACTGGAGCAAAGCATGTCCCCGAAAGAATTCGGGTGCCCTAGTCCAGCTCAAGGTGTGGGACTGCCACGTTGCCCTTGAAGCTGCAAAGCCCACCTAACCTCAGGCAGCTCGGGAAAACGGGACAGAGGCGTGCCTCTTCACAGCCAGCCCGTTTCCCTGGGGTCACCAAGCAGTAGCCTGGTCCCGTCGCCCTCTGGGCTGGTTTGGTTAAAGGGGTTCGAGGTGCCGGTGCAGGCTGCTGGCTGGCGGCTACCGCGCCTGTGGGGGGTGTGGGGGGGGTGCGCGTCTATTTCAGCCAAGGATCGTGTGATAGGAAGCGGTGACAATGAGTCACAGGGCAGCGGGGCGCGAGCGCTCCCCCTCCCCCCGCACACGCTCGCGGGATGGTTTCCGAGGCGAGCGTGGCCCACTTCGGTTACCTCAGCCGTTACACAATCCCGCCCGCCCGCGCGGAGGAGGGGCTGCCCGGCCCGGGCCGCTCGCGGCCCTTATGCAACCAGTGCTCTCCTGACCTAATTCCAGGCCGGACCCACCCCACAGGGAGCCGCGGCCCCGGAAGGGACAACTCCCAGAGGCGGGAGCCGCAGACGCAGGCGCCGACCTGACTTCTCTGGCTGACAAGAGCGGGGAGGACCTGGCGCGAGTGTGGGAAGGGTGCGAAGTTCCCCTCCTGGCAGGGAAGGTGCGGGCAGGTGTAAGAAAGAGCTCAGGCGTGCAAAGGGAGAGGGAGAAGGCGAGAGAGAAATAGAGATGGTGACATTGAGCAAGACAGAAACCGAATGACAAAGATTCAAAGAGACGGAGGAAAAAAGAACAGGGTGACACAGAACAGAAACAGAGACGCAGAAACACAAAAGCATACAGAAGACACAGAAAGAGACAAAAAAGCAACAGACAGAGGCACAGCTAAAGAAAGCTAAAAGAATTTTTAAAAGTCCCAGAAATCTCCATCCTGCACACAGGCAGCAGTCCATCCCATTGTCCCTGGCACGCTCCTCTGCCCTGGTCCTTCCCCCATCTCCCTGCTGGGCTCATTCTCCCGCCCCCTCACGTCGTGACCAAGCCCTCGCCCTCGCCGGGGCCCCAGTGGCGCGGTGGACTCACCCAGCCTAACTGCCTCATTGTACTTCAGCAACGCCGCCTCCACCTGGCGCTCACGGTACAGCCGGTTGCCCTCGTGCCGGAGTTTCGATGCCCGTGCAGGGCCCGGAAACAACTTGCCCAGGAGGCCGCTGAGCACCACGTTGACCCGTAGCGGCGACGGCGCCTGCTGTCCAGCCCTCCGGGCCCCACGCGCCCGTCCAGAGGCCATCATCAACGTGGAAAGCTTGACCCCGCACAGCGCACAGCGGCGATCGGCTGCCCGCCCACGTTCCAGACACAGTTTACAAAAGGTGTGGCCGCACGACAAGGACACGGGGTCTGACAGAAATCCATGGCACTTCCGGCACTTAAAGCCGTCCCACACCTCGGTGGCCGCTGCCGCCCCTGCCTCTTCCGCCGCCACAGTGCAGCTTGTCGCGCTACTCGCCGAGGGCGAGGGCACCAGTGCCTCATCTTGCGGGATGCTTTTGGCCAGGCAGCGCGCCAGCTGCTCCAGCTGCTCGGCCACCAGCAGCTGCCGCTCGGAGAGCTGTCTGTACACCTCGAGAGCTTCCCGGAGGCGCCCCCCTGACGCCAAGGCGTCCGCCTGTGTGAGCAGGACTTTGCACTCCTGGAGCGTCGAGTTCCTCGGAGTCTGCTCTTGCTCTGGCTCCCGCGTCGGTAGAGGTTCCGGACTCTCTGTAGCCTCCTCCGGGTGGGGACCGGTGTCTACTCCGGCAGCTGATGCTGCCCGATCCACCGGCTCCGCCTGCTCTAAGTTGCTGCTGCCCAGCTCGGCGGGCAAGCTCAACATCTGTTCACTCTGAAATGAATCCATACGGAGAAGGACCGCGCGGGGAAGAGGCGTCTAGGGACCAGGAATACGGAGCAAGGAGTCGCGCCTGGAAAGAACTGAGACTGCCACTGCCGCGGTGCCACCACGCACCGGCCCCTGCCGCTTCTCCGCCAGCTCCATGCCGGCCGCCCCGCGCTGCCTAATAACTGTCTTGTCTCAGCAAAGTGTTATATAAAACGGTACCACGTGACTCCTCACCACGCTGCTCATTGGCCGGCAGCGGGGAAATTGTTACAAAACCAGACAGTTTTGTAACAGTGTTGCGCTTGCTTCTTTTGGCTTCGCTTTTCTTGGCTTCTTTTTGAGGTTGTTTGTGTTTACACTCTGCCTAATTTCCCACTTGCAATTTGGCTTCTTTTGGAAGGGGGAGAGGAACCCAACTTCTTCTCTCAAGCTTCTCCATCTCCAAACCCCACCCCATCCTACCTCCAAACTGGCCAGCAAACAGGTTCCCTCTGCCAGGCGCTCACTACCGCTCACCCCCGCCCGGTCCCTTCGTGGAGAGCAGGTACCTCCAGGCGCGGTCCTCGGGGTCTTCTAGGACGTGGAAAATGCTCCCTACTGGGCCATCGGCTGCTGTCTCTGAAGGGACGTGGGTAGTAGGGAGGCGTATCGGCGAAGTACCCCCACCCCCCAACCCTGGGGCCTCTGCTGGAGATCCCTAGAAGACCCACCAGAGCTCCTTGCCTTTCTCAGGGGACTCCCGCAAGGTGGTGAGTGCAGTTTCCCGAGGGCACTTGGTCTTCGGTGCTGAGAGCGACTTGGAGCAGAGTGTCCGGCGGATACAGAAGTTGGGCAGCGCTCGCTGGGCAGTGAGGGACGCACGGAGATGTGCTTACTGGCTTGCACCCCAGAAGAGGCACCCCACCACCCCTTTTCACCTCTTTGTCCCCAAACGCCAGAACCAGCGCTGGGGACCGGGGTCGGATGCCTCTCTGGAGAAGCACCGGGCCCCCGGAGTTACTGGCCAGATGGGCGCGGCCGCTAGAATGGCCTGCTGAGTTCGGTGGGTACTTTGGGGTCCTGGGAGAACGGCAGACAGAAGACTCAAGCCCCGAGCGCTAACTCGGGAGAGTGTGAATCCTGGAGCGACCAAGCGGCCTCCAGGTTCACCGCTCCTGAGCGCTCCTGAGCACGTCACAGTGTCGGGCTGTACAGCAGAGGTAGGGCTGGGCACAAGCCGCAGGGCCTGCCTCACAATGGTTAGGGTGCCCCGCAGGTACCAAGCATACCTCCAAAAGTACTGAGTGGTAGCCAACTGCACACACTTTGTCTCCCGACCAACCCCGACATTTCAGACGGGAGCCACACGCACGAATGAGCAGATATAGGCTTGGAGACCTAAAGGAATAACGCATTTCCAAAAGTCAGTCACGCTGCTCCAAGCTGGGAGGCAAGACCTGGGCTTGCCTGTGGCTCAGCCGGCCTTCAGAGCCTGCTGATCCTTGGCAACACCAGAAGCAGGAGTTGGAGCAGAGTGCCGCAGCAGGGGCTCCTGAGGTGTCCATTTCCTATCTGGCTGACCTTGGGCATATCACCTAAACTCTGGGAGCCATCATTTTCACTTCTGAACAAAAGTTAGGGATGATTTAGTCGGGATTAAATAATATTTCAGAGCTGAGGACAGCAGACTCCGTCGGGCTCTGCACCTCTTTGTGTGTGATTAATCCCACCATGACTCAACACCAAGGTTCCAGAGAACAGATACTGCGCAGGGAGCCCTAGAGCCTCTCTCTGGTAAGACAAGAATAGAGGGACAGAAGGGAAAGGGGAAGTAGTGCAGAGAAAAAAGAGAAAACAGAGGGACTCAGAATATCACCAGGAAGATGTGGCGAACACAAGAAATTTTGGCTTGAAGCTCTGTTTTTTTCATAACTTACTATGAGACCTTTGGCAAATCCTCTCAGTCTTAGTTTTTCTTAATCTCTAAGGTACCCTCCAGCCCTAACCTTGAGTGGTTTTGATCCCCAAACCAGATTTCAGGATGCTAACTCAACTTCTTAAGTACAAATGATTAGACCAGAAGCTGTGGGTGGTGCTGGGATTCAGGGTTACAGTTAGCAGCAGTTGTGGAAAGGCAGCAGTAGCTGGAAGGCTGTCCTCTTAGCCAGGGTCAAGCCTGAGCTAGATTTTGAGGATAGGGCAATCAGTCAAGGGCCAAGAAAACGTGGACAAGGTGACTATGCCAGGCAGTCAGGGAAAAGATGGAGCTTCTCGTGACTTGCTGTCTGACTGAGGAGCTCCTTTCACCCCTCAGTTTTCCTTGCTGTCAAATGGGATCCCTAACACTCAGACACCTGTAGGAGGGACAGTCTGTGGGGCAGATAAAGAGATTTAAATTGAAGGGCCATGAGATAGATAATGATTAAAAACAAACAAACAACAACAAAAAAAAACCTTGAGAGATTTATCCTTTTTACATGTCTTCAAAAACCAATGTTATCCAAACTGTCTTCCAGGTGCAGATCTGTGATATACCTTGCTTTCTGGACCACCTTGACAAGTGAGCACCTCTTGTATTGACCACCCTCCTTGCCCTGTTGATGAATGGGGAAACAAAAAGGACAGGTCAAGCAGAAGGTCACAGTCCCGCAGTCATGGAGAAGAGATGTGTTCTCCAGGCAGCCTCTCTTGGCAGCTGTATATGTAAGAGACTGACCATGAACTTGGTCAGGAATGTTAATAGCTGTCAGGGAAATGAAGGGTACGCTGGTGCCAAAGGTAGCACCACCTACTCACTGACCAGATTCCACAGGGAGTTTGATGTTGTATTGTAATCAGGACTGTCTGTAGGGGCACACCAAGTAAGTTTCTATTGAATTCTAGAAAACTTGACCACTTTACTTAAGTTAAACAAGCATTACCTTGATAAACATTTGTGACCAACTCTGAAGTGTTACTCAAAAATTCCTCCTTTCTGCTCTTACTAATTGGAGCCCCTGGAGGAAGGGCAGAGGAGAGATTGGCATCTTTTCTTAAGATGCAAATATTCCTTAGAAGCCCAGATTCCTTAAACTTCCATTTTTTTTTTTTTTTTTTTGTTGTTGTTGTTAAGATCGTGGGTGGCTAAGGTAAACCTGGAAGAAGGAGCTAGAGATGACTTACCCCTTATTTCCACTGACTACACAGCAATAATTTTTTCAGTTGGGCTCTGAGAAACCTCTCTGGTGCCCAGAGGAGAGAGCAGGAAGGACTCAACCTTAACTCTCCTCAACTAGGGCAGTATTGTATTCATTTCATGTAGTGAGCTTCCAGGTACAATTTCATTAAGAAGAGATTTTTCCCTTTGAAATAAAAAGTTTGAAAGTCATGGAAATTTTCGCCTACTTTCATACATTTGGTGAGCATCATCTATGGACCAGACACTACTCTTGGTACTGGAGATATGTTAAAGCAGCACTTAGCTCCCAGGTCATCCCTCACAGAAGATAGCATTTCTTTTCCCCACACATTCTTCTACTGGCTTCCCATGTAAACTAGATGTTCCATGAAGGCAAGGACTGGTATGTCTGTCCTTCATCTCCTCCTCAGAGGACAGTGTTTGAACTGATCTTACTTTACATGGCAGTGGACATTCTGGCCCTGGCTAGTAGTATGCAGAGAGGAAATCCAGCTAAAATGTACCTTTTCCCTGGCTCATTCATAGTTGAGATAGTGGGTGTGCGTATAATAAATGGCTGACAGTCCCATACACTAAACAATTCTGGGATGGAAGAGTCCAGTTAAAACCAGAAACTTGGGGGTGAGGAGTGAGCAACCTCTCTCTCTCTCTCTCTCTCTCTCTCTCTCGATGGAAACTTTCCCAAAGCATGCACTTGCTCTCTATTTGAGTTTCTCATTTCATAAACTGGGATCAATTTGTAGTCCTTACAGGAAAAAAAAAAAGGTATCATGGGCATTAAAAAATTCACGTAAGAAAAAAGACTGCCCCTTGCCATAGAGTGTAACCCAAATCCAGCACTAACAGAAAGTTTACTCAGTAGCCCAGGTTTCACAGATGAGGCAACTCAGTGCCAGAGAAGGCCAGTGACTTGCTGCATGTTGCAAAGGGAGTTTGTGACATGGCCAGGATTGGAAGCTAGGGCTCATCTCTTTGTTTAGTTTTTTCCCCCAAGTAATCAAAAGCCTCCAAAGCACGCAGAACATCCCTCCAAATAAGTAAGAAATTATTTTAGATATTGCACCTACAAGATTTCCATCAATTCAACAAATGTTCATTGAACATACACTGTGTACTAATGGAGCTGATATTTGTGGAGCAATAATAAAAAGATATAGCACAGTCTTTATCCTCCAGTAGCTCACTGAGTAAACAAGAGGCAAAGATTTGAAACAGATAAAAATAACAGGCACTATGTGATAAGTGCCAAAATTGAAAGAATAGTGTGTCCAAGGAAGTACTCAAAGTCAACAGTCTGTGATGCTTCCCAGCTTATAGCGAAGGTGACTTTAAGTTAGGTGAGAGGGTATTTAAGTAGCTGCTGCTCAATTCAAGGGGATTTCCTAATACATTGGGAGCTAGGTGGCTTGGAGAAAGGAGGAGAATTTCAAGCAAGTAAGCTAGTTCTTAGCCTCAGAATTTTTTTTCAGTGTTTGCAATCAAACCCAGGCTTTTCACATGATAGGCAAGCACTATATCACCAAGCTACCTTCTCAGCTATGGAATTTGTACTGTTAATGGATCCTCACATGATCATGGTGCTTAGCTAGGTGTGGTGTCCACTTGTATAAAGGATGATGGAGAGTAGATTAGAGTGCTATACACCAATCCATCTCTTCCTTCCTTATCCTCAGTTTCTCTAGGGGAGGGACATCAATAATTCTTCCCTCAATTTTGCTGAAAAGCAAGTTGTGAGTCCAGAGACTTTCACAGATGTGCCCAAGGTCATTCTTCAACTAGAGGTCACTCTGGTCTCCTACCAACCAGTAGAAACAGAAAGATGGCAAAATATCATCCCAAGGAATATTTGCTTCACTTCTCTGCAAGACAAGTCTGACCCACTTGGTTAGCCAGGGAGTCTGTTGCCCAAAGTACAAAAAGGAACAAATCTGTGGAACTGCCAGGTGTGTAGAACAGAGCCCAAGGCGAGGTTAGTCCCTGGGAGTGCAGTGGCACCCCCTTTCTCCACAGAAAAGCCCTCTTCACCATGGCTGATTTTAGGACTGTCAGCAAAAGAGTCCATTGTAGATAAACTTCCTATTTTCATGTTGCCCTGTTTACTTGGCCACTGGCCGAGAAGATACCAGCACTCCAGGTGCTGGACACCCCCTTACTAGTTTTTCATAAATGTATCCAGTATAATACTTTGAAGAAATGTGCAAACAAGGCCTCTGGCCTTGAGCTGGGGCTTCACAGAGATGTCTACATTTTTAAGATAAGTTACAAATGGGTTCCATGGTAACAGCTGGCAGGGGGAGGCTAGAAAGAAGAGAAGAAGCTCTCCCCTTCTCAGGTGTTGTCCTTGAAGAGTTAACATGCCCAGAACAGTGAAAGAAAAAGCTGCTTTTATGTGAACTTCTGCGGACTGTGAACTTCTGAGCCCCTCCCCTTACATGCTGGGTATAAAACTCTGAAACTCCCTGAACTCAGAGTTCAGGGGATTGATTGATTATAGCAAAGGCTGAACCCTCTGAACCTGGCTGCAGCCAAATAAAACTGTTTCCTGCTATCTTCGGTGCCTTGCCTCGTTTGTCCCTATAACAGGAGCTTGGAGATCTAACTTTGCGATGTGATTCAGCCCAAGCCACTTAACTTCTCTATGTCTGTTCTTTACCTATTAATAACAATGCACAGTGTCTTTGTTAGGATTAGCTACAGTATTGGAAAATGCATAGTGCCGTTAGTCCTGATGTGATTCCTAGGAACAGAAGGGATCCACAGCCATCTGCCAATAGTTATGAGTAAAATATGTGCTAGCTGCCCTCAAAATAAGCATTTGCTTCTGAAAAACCAGCCTCTACCTCAGAGCAAAGCCTGTCCAAGGAAGGGCCATGAAAAGATAATTTCGGTTTTACTATAAATTACTGCAAATTCTGAACCTGCTTTGAATACCTGCCTGTGCCTTGAACTCACCCATGCCTGGCTCTCTGACCAGATAGCAGCCCTCTCTGAAACCTTAGTGATGCCTCACAAATCTTGGCCTTCCCTGGCCAGATAACGACCCTCTCTGAGGCTCTAATGGTCTTCATAAATTCTGATTTTGGGGCCAGCAAAAAATGTAAACTACCATTAGTGTGATGCTTGTCAGAGTTCTGTTATCTGTAACTTTCTGGGCTATAAAGCTGGGCTGCAGGAAAGCTGCTGCGGCTGTCTTGTTTCCCACCGTTTTGGGTGGGAGAGGCAGCCCGGCCGGTCGAAATAATAAGCTTGCTTCAATTTGATTTTAATTGGAGTCAGTGGTCTTTTCTTGCATCCTGGTCTAACATTTTGGGGGCCCCAGCGAGATGACCCTGCCAGACCAGATCACAAGACCAGACTGCTGGAAATTCTAAAGCCGGCCTTCGCTCCAAGGCTCCAGGCTGGAGAGCCACTCTAGGGGGTGCGCACCTTGAGACGTTCCAAGGCCCCAGGGTGAGCCTTTGGTCCCCGGAGCACTGCAGTGAACGGCACTAAAACTATTAGCAAGCACCTGGTGGAGGAGGCCTCCATAGGTAAGTGGTGCCTTTATAACATCTGGTATCCGGTTAAGGGAGATCTCTTCTGAAGACAGAGAGGTGGCTTGGCGAGGCTCACATATTCTCCTGTCCGGGACAATAACGAGAAATCGTTCTGTCCTCTGTTCTGTAGGGAATTTCTCTGGAAGGGTAGAGAGGTGCCGATGGGCACGCATGCGCTTCTACCCCAGGAGCTTTAGCAAGATGTTGCATTGCTCCTCTGTTTTTCTGTTTCGGTGCCGGGTTTCTGTTTTCTTGTGTTTTGTTCTGTGTTCTATATGTTTTTTGTTTGTTTGTTTTTGTGCCTTTTGTTGTGTGACTTCTGTGGTAAAAACTTAAGGATATTGGACGTGAAAATGGGTAATAAAGCAAGTAAGCCTGACACCCCTTTGGACTGTGTTTTAAGGAACTTCGATGAACTTTACTCCCCTTTGTTAAGCAGGATGAGAGAAGCCCCTAGCTGGCTGCTGGAGCACACCCTTGCAGAGGGCAATGCCTGCTGGGGATCTAAGAACTGAGCAACTCCCAGATTAACAAGTGAAACTCCTTTAAAACCCCTTGCCCCTCCAGATCAAGAGAGTCACAACCTTTGGGGCAGAGTCCCCTGTGTTTCTCCTTTGTTAGCAAAGCAATAAACCTCCTTTTTTCTTTTTTCTCAAAACCCTGTCCTCATTATTAAATTAGCATTAATTGGCTTCGAGGACAGGAACCGAACTTTCAGTTACAAATTTTGACACCTCAGGGAACTCTAAAGGAGCCCCCAAGGAACTTTTTGAGAGCTGACTACTGAAATGTTAGGAGATATGGAGCGTGCCTGGGTGGAACCGAACCATAGGAGCTAATCCTGTAAGTAAAAGGAGGGACTGAGGGATTCCCAGCAGCCCTGTTGCTTCAGGGAATTCCTGCCTTCCTTCCCTGCACTGTAAGGATTATGCCACCTCTGTCTACTTAAAAAAAAGAGAGAAAAAGGAAAAGGGGACACTAAATGCAGTAAAATCGCCACCAAGACCCTTGATTTAATATTTCAAGTTGCCCCTCTGTGAAAACATCTGGTCCACTCATAGGGACATCTATGGTGCCACTGGTGTAGGAATCAAATGGGAGTTAGAAACTTGGGGAGATTTTTCTCTTATCTGCTCTGTTTTAAAGGTTCCTGTCAGCCATAGTCTGGAGCTCCTTTCTGTCTGTCTGTCCTGTGTTTTTGTTTGTTTCTGGCCCTTTAAGACATGCACAATAATGTGTTGATATTATAAATTGTTTCTTGGGAATGATCTTGGCTGAATGTGTGTCTAAAAGATGATGTTTTATTGTAACAATCTGGTATCTGAATGGGTTTTTGAAGCATTGCACAATGTTGCAGTTAAAAGTTGGGTTTAGGT